TGTTGGTTGCACCGACTCGAAGGCAATCCCTCACACTAAGCATGCTTGCAGTGACAGTGGAGAGGACAAACTCTCATTGAACAGGAAGAAACCTCCAGCAGAACCAGGCTCAGTGTGAGCGGCCATCTGCTGAGGCCCACTGGAGTTCAAGGAGACAGAAGCAGACATAGAAAAAGAAGCATAGATACAAAAGGCAGCCGCGTCCAGGAAACACAGCCAGGGAGATAACTTCAAATATAAAAAGAAACTCCAGCAGTTAAGAAAATATCTTTGGGTTCTTCCTGTTTTTATTAGAAGTAAACAGCGAAACAAAGATTAAATATATTGACCAACCCACTCTTCAAGTATACATAGATACAGCTACGTTTTTTTGTTTTGTTTTAAATACGCCGTTATTATTTTGAGAGGATGATTTTTAATATAAAGTTAAAAGTTAATGTATATTTAAGTTAAACTGAAACTGTAAATTATACTTTTGTGCATGTTTTTAAAAGCTTGCATACTATTTTTATTCTTTCATTTTTTTTTGGGAGGGGGAGGGGGCGGCGGGTTGCAATATCAATGTTTTTCATGGCACCCCTGGGTCCAACTGTCCCGCTTTGGTTTTCTACAGGTCAGTTCTATGGATGAATGAGTGAAAACTTTGGCAGAAGACCGCGTTAAACCAGTCGACCCATTCCATGAACAACCAGAACCAGAACCATCAACAGCCGGCAGCTCTGCTCTTATCAGCTGCTTCCTGATGTCACGCTGAAAATCAGCAGAACCTTCTCGGATCATCGACCAGCCGAGTCAAAAGCAGACCCGCCCAGTACTCCAGACTGATAACTCAGCCCTGCAGCTGCTCCTGTTGCCTTGGTGACAGCAGAAACACCAACAAGCAATGATAAACAGGAAGCAGAGAATGCGGCAGGAACTAGAAGTTCCTGGGAACTTTCTACAGACAGAGGGAGAGCTGATCAGAACCCAGCTGGTTCTGCTGAGGAGGATCTTTACCTTTGAAGAGCTGCTGTTCAGTTTAAACGAACCGTTGATGGAACCAGAGTCGCCGTCTACGGGAGAGAAAGAGGTTCAGGTGAGAGGAGGATCGCACCTCGGCAGATATACGGAGCTGGAAGGGGCGGGACTCACTGCGGATGTCCTGGTTGCCGTTGGTTACGGAGGATTTCTGCGTGCTGGAGTCGGTGAGCAGTGCCGCCAGTTTGTCGACTGAAACAGAAAAGGAGGGTGAACCTTCGTGAAACGCTCCCGCCAAGAGGTCCGACCCGAGGTCCTGCTTACCTTCCCCGATGGCGGCAAGTAGAAGCGGCTCGGCTTTGGGAGCGTGAGGAGTGTCGGCTCTGAACAGGTTCCTGTTGGAGGAGGGGGGCTTCACCTCCACGCTTTTCTCTTCCCCAGCCTCTCCTCGCGCTGTCGCCTGCACCAGGTCAGAGAACAAGGTGGCGCGCTCCTGCAGGAGCTCCAGAACCTCCTTGTCCTTCTGCTGAATGTCGGCTGCGGAAAGGAGGAGGAGGATATTAGGGTTTTAATGTCAAAGGTTTGCAGAAGCTGTTAAACCAATTTGAACCTTTGATCCATCAGACTCCTCCAGCTCAGCGCATGCTTCTATAGCCCCACCCCCACCCGTTGCTAAAGAACACTGTTTTAGCTAGCTGTTCATCCTCAGCATCTGAGCAGCTCCATCACCAGAGGGCTGCAGCCTTTAAAACCCAAACCTAAACTCAAATCTATGATAGTTTACTGATATTTTTGGAATATGTATATAAAGTTTAAAAAAAACAATACATTTTTACATAAAAAAGAAAAAATATATACTTCTGTTATAACTAGTGGATGTTTTTTTGTAAATTCACTCAGTGGAGAAAATTCTAAAACATGCATTTGATAGAATT